CTTCCCACCCAAACCATCCTGTGATTCCAGGATTCTATTGTGTTCTTCTTCCCCCATCTCCATGTCCACCCAACTTGACCACAGAACTCCAAGCCCGGGCAACAGGACAGCAACGGCAGCCGAGCTCGAAAGATCTTTGAACAAACCCAAATGGGTCACGGTCTGGGTGTACGACCTGTCCAGCCCTCGCTGGGTCTGTGACACCTGTGGATCGATAGCAGCAGAGACTTTTGCTGCTCCCATTGATCTATTTACCCTCTTACCCAAGGTGCTCTTCACACAGTTATCTCCTTCCCAACCCTTCTCAACATTCCTGGTCCCTGCTCACCTAGCAGACACGATGCTGCAGTGAGCTGTTCACTGTCAGATGTATCTTTACGACAACCTCCACACCTGGTCTTCAAAAGAAAGTCCTAAAATAAAACTGGACCTGATATTTCCATCCGGGGCAGCAGCACTGCTGCAACCCCCATCTCCATGCGTTATTCTAAAAACACTGGGACCCTGCTCTGGCAAAGCTCAGGTCCAGCAGCACCAGAGATTCCTCAGGTTATTTGGCAAATCTAGAAACCCAGGAAACGCCAGGATGCTCTTCTTCGAGACAGTTGCTGTGCAACAGAGCAGTGCCGGAGAGCGCTCACTCATCTTAACCGTCGCCTAACGCCGTTCTCTTTTCCACAAACACAGCGCGAAGGCGCTGTCGGTTAAACATATTGGGTTGAAACCGCAGAATTGTTTTCACTGCATTTTACATAACTTGGCATGCCTCCCCAAAGCAATCACAACTCTTCCTCCTTTCTTCCCGTGAATTAGTTTCCCATATTCCATACAGCAGTAAGAAACTGCCGTAAGACCTACAGCTTTCTGAAGAGTGGCAGAAACACGGATGGATTCCTCAGAACGCTTTGTCTCCAATACAAGCAAAAAATAAAAATCAGAGTTTCCACGGAAACGCACTAAAATATCCAGAGTTACAGAGAATCTTTGCACAATTAAGTTCCAGGCAGATTGTCTTGAAGCTCAGTCTCTGGTGTGCTTGAGACTGACCAGACTCATCCTGCCCATCCCACAGCCCTTGGAGACAGAAATCGGAGCCTGGGGAAGCTCTGAGCAGCAGGACATGCCAGCAGCTCCCTCTACAAACCCTCTTGTTGTTCATCTGCAGAGCAGCACGACCCATTTCTGCTCACCCCACGTCGATCCGAGAGGACACCCAGACCCACATGACCTGCACACAAATGGCAAAGTCTGAACCCGGGGGAGAAAAATCCTCCCGGGTCTCGCCGGCCGTAGGAGGTGGCAGTTCACTGCAGCCTGATCACCCAGAGACACCTCCAGCCTTGCTCCCTTCTCCCATCAAACCCATCTCAACCTCCTGCTGGACCTTTGTGCTTCAGCCCCAGCAGCTCTCCAAACGTCCTCGCCCCTCTCTCTTCTCTCACAGCCTCACCTAAAGCTCGTTTTACTCCTGGGAGGATGAGAAAGCGCTGTCTCAGCGAGGCAGAACGCAGCTCCTCGCCTTCCCCTGCCCAGTGAGAAGCCGTTCCCATCTCGGACCCGCTCCTTGCACACACCCAGAGAGCAAACTTCCTTCTGTTCTTCCATTCTGACCTGTTCTTCTATTCTAAACTATTCTATTCTAAACTATTCTTCTATTCTATATTATTCTTCTATTCTAAACTATTCTTCTTCCCAGCCACGCTCATGTTTTGAGTGGAACAGTTTCCGAACAGGACCGTAATTCCAAAAATATCAGCATCCATCCGGCTCCCAAGGTGTTCAAGCACTGCTTGGACATGCATTCAAGTCCCACCAGCTCCTTCGTGTCGCTAAAGGCACTGATCGACGCACAACGGGCAACAACCACCCAGCTTCGGAGCAAGAGAGACGAGTCGAACGCAGACTCGGATCCGTAAGCGTGGTTGGTGTCAAACCAGCACTTAGAAGTACAGCTGTTAATTAACAACAAGCTAACGAGGGAGGAAAGACCTCCCCCAGGATCTTCAGGTAGTCCGAAGCAGAGGAGGACTCAAGAAGTCTTGCAGAGGTGGGAAGAGAAGAAGAGGAGATAGAACCAGAGCATGTGCTCCTCTGACACAGTGTAGCGGGGACAGAAAAGGAGGAAAGACGGATTAAAACCAAGACGAAACTACAGCAAAACTGTCAGAAAACCTAACGAGACGAGAGCAAAGCCAGAGCGGGAGATCCAACATGCAATTAGCAGATATGTATGGACTGACGACTGAAAGGGACACCTGACAAGGACAGTACACAACGCTGGAAGAACCTCAGCAAATCTGCAAACACCAGCAAAACGAAGAAAACTGAAGGCACTTATTTTCCCTTTGAGGGAGGAAAACAGCACGAGGACGTGATTCGAAGAGCAAAGGCTTACGATGGCAGGTCTTTGGCAGCTCGCAGCCCCCAGCCTTTCTTCTCGGTGAGGATCACTTCAACATCGGCATGCTGCTTCTTCTGGAAGCGCCTGTTGGAGCAGTAGTCGCCGTTTGGGCACCTGGAAGAACTAAGGGAAGGAAACGGAACAAATCAATTCCCAGCAGGACAACAGCGATGACAGAAACGGCTCAGATGGGAAATAGGTACCAAGGAGCCATAATAAATTCAGTGTAAAACCTTCAAACGAGTTTTGCTATAAAAAGCATAACCATCTGACTGCCAACATGCAAATGCAGACAATTTATTTCTGGAAGGAAGATAAAAACATTTGGAATGCGAATGCTGCTGTACATCAAAATCGTACAATCAAACTGGGAGGAACCGGACACGTTGTTACGGGTTTTTCCCCCATGATATCCCCTTCCCCTCCATCTCCTGCCTGGGCTATTAAATTAAAAACAAAGGGCAGGGCTTCTGCCAGGTAATTCCTCTCCTTCCAACCCAGCCGGTGACAATCCTCATGCCAGGGGGTGAATCCCACCGAGCGCGCTGTCCCCCGCCTCCCGCTCTTCTCCCAGCCTCTTCCAGGAGGGAAAAGGAGACAGGAGACAACGGCCACAGCCTGGTGAGGCTCTGGGGAGAGGAGAGGGATGCAGAAGGAGAAACGGGAGGAAATAAGGATCTTGAGTGGAGTTGTATTTGCATTTCTGACTCGCTCCAGCCACAATGGACTAGAGTTAAGGCTGAGGAGCAGAAGGCTCCAGGCGTCTGCAGCAGGTTTTAACAGGAGGCTGCCAACGTCTGGCCTCCTGCAGAAGATCTAAGGGCAAATGCTGGTACGTAAGCTCGGAAGATCTTACCTAAATCCACCCTCTTTCAGAGTAATGGGTTTAAGCAGAAAGAGGGGAGATTGAGATGAGTTATGGGGAAGAAATTCTTGGCTGTGCGGGGGGTGAGGCAGTGGCCAAGGCTGCCCAGAGAAGCTGTGGATGCCCCATCCCTGGAGGGGTTCAAGGCCAGGCTGGATGAGGCTTTGGGCAACCTGGGCTAGTGGGAGGTGGCCCTGCCCATGGCAGGGGGTGGCACTGGGTGGGCTTTGAGGTCCCTAAGATCACTCTGCACCAGCCAGTGAAAATGAGAGTGTACGGACGTCTGGCTTCCTCTAGCGGCTCCCAAGCCATCCCATGGACACCACCCAGCTCCGCACCCCACGGAACACTCCTCACCACTCGATCATGAGCAGGCGATTCAGACAGTCCTCTCCACAAGCGACCTCCCCCTGCGCTCGCTCCTCTTTGGAGAGGGGAGGGCATTCGCACAGCATCCGCTTAATGTCCCGGTGAGACTTGTTCTTCTTCCTGTTGAAGACAAGCCAGTGAAACACAGGTTAGGCAGCATCTGGGAAGAGAAATCACTCCTTGATCTTTGTCAGTTGTTACTGGAGGAAATTAATTTATCATCTAGAAACCGGGCATTTGGACCAATCACCTTTGGACACCCACAAGGAGGTACCGGGATAACCGAGGACACTAGTTGGAGTGATGACTTTCCCATCACAAAAGACAATTTCTCAGAAATCCATCCCAGGATATTTAACTTTTCTTCCTTCTCCTCAATATCCACAATCCAATTTCACTTTCACTGTAGATATGCACACACACAGGCACCTACAGCCAGAGGAAGAACTAAAACTGCTTCATTTTGTCATATAAGAAGCCAATTTCCAGAAAATTCAGTTCTTGATTTTTCTAGACAGAGGCTTTCACCCTACATAGTACCAGCTCTAAGGTTTAAATTAAAAGGATAAACCTCGATTAGCCTCTCATGAAATACTATATTGTGTAATCCAGAGATCCCTTCCAACCTCAGCTACTCTGCGATATCTATCTGGTCTCGCTGATCCAAACGTCAGGAGAGAACCTGTGTCGTAAAAATTAACACATAAACCATGAGTTGAGCCCACAGACCATTGTAAAATATATTTATTTTAATACAGCCCATTGGACGGTTCAGCTACCCAAACCTCTGCTTTACTGTCACATAAGATGATGAAAAAAAAAACAAACGGCAGTTACAGAAAGGCAGGGCATCAAAGGCAGCTACAGATATTCCAGCTGCCATGATGATCAGGGAAACGCTTTGGAGTGTGGATTCCAGCAAGACAAAAAAAAAAAAAAAAAACCTGGATTGAAATAAATAGCAGGTTTTATCTGCAATAAGTGGTTGATATTCAGCCTCTGAATCAAGGATATCTTTTAAAACACATCTATTAAATTAAAAAAAGCCACTTTAGTGAAAAAAAAAGATGTGGCAAAGCCTTGAGAGCTAAAGCCCCAGGACGCGACGGCCGGCAGGGGATTAAATCAGCCCATGCTGGCGAGCACCGGCGCTTGGTACCCCGGGGCTGGGCAGGAACGCCGTCACTCAACCACCTGCAAGGAACCACGAAATGAAAACGGAACCAAGTGAAAGGAAACAGCAAGATTTTACATAGGCAGAAATCACCCGAAGGCTTTACCAGAGCCTGTGCCAGGACCAAGAATCGCTTCCAGGCTCATACGGAGTTCTTACCTCCGCACTGAAGCCAGCGCGAGTATTTTTTGGCAAGGATGAAGGTCGCTGAGCCCTGAGGCAGTACGCTCGCTAATCACCCCTAATGCTCAGAATTAGAGGATTTTTTTTTCCCAGGGATCACATCCTGCTCAGCATTCCCATACAAAAGGGAAAAGGATAATCTGCAACTAACCCTCCAGTATTTCAAATTACAGCCCAGGAGATCTAAAATAAATCATCTGAGATGACAAAGAATGACACGCAACCTTCAGAAACACACGTTGTTGTCCAAAACCCTTCCCACACCCAGACAGATTTCCCTGTGTCTCCGGAGAGGGAACGAGCCGGCGTTTGGGGACACCGAACAGCCAAGGCTCGGTAAGCCCAGAGGCGACGCTGCCGTACGGCTCTGGGCTTTAATGCAGCCACATCAAGTTCAGAGGAAGGGTGGACAATACAGAAGAAAGCCAAAAACTTGGAAAAAAAATGTAATTACTCTTACAAATTACCACGGGTATAAGAATAACTCATTTACTTGGTGCTCATGCCAGGTGCGCAAATCCTGCCTGGCACCCAGATCAGCCCTAGACAAAGGGGATGCTGTAAGATGATGGATGAGAGGGGATAAATTAATCATCCTCGCCCATCATCTCCCATCTTTCACCTTTCCTCATCACCGGGGCCTGTCTGAGCCCAACCAGGGTTTTCTGTTTAGGAGAAGAGAGACAGGGGAGGTTAAATATGTGCCCAGGATCATCTCCTCTATGAGCAGCTTTGTCAGACGTAGGGAAGGCGACGTCCCTCCCCGTTCCTCCAAATTATGCCAGTTCGGCGGTTTTAAAAAACAGCTATCCTGGAATCAAATGGAAGTGAAAAATCTAAAATTCCTATAGACAAGGAAAAAAAAATTTAAAAGGCAAAAAAAAGCAGTTACCTTTCTGTCAAGTACACGTTCTCCTCGATAAGGTCAAAGTAGCAGGGCATCTTTCCTTGCTTGGCAAACTCCTTCCAGCGCTGGGGGTCTCTGAAGTCATCCATGATGCACAACCGCCCGACCATGGAGGAGTCCTGCGGTGCCGGCTCCACTGGCTCCCCCACCTCCGGTTCCACCTTCTTCTTCTCCCTCGAGTCCATGTCGCTCTCCGAGTCGCTCTCCAACTCCGGGCGTCTTTTTTTTGGTGGACCTCGTTCTTTCACATCATTTTTTTCCAAAACCTTCACCTCCTCCTTCTTCTCCCCGCCGGGCAGCGGCTCCTTGGTGGAATTGCTGCTGATCTCGTGCGCCTGCACCGAGCCTTCTTCTTTCTGTCCGGGCACCGGGAATTTATTCGAGGGGCTGGGAAAATGAGGTTTGCACTCAGCATCCCAACGGTCATCCTCTTCGTACTCCTCGTGATCCTCCGTTAGAGAATCGGGTACCTGCCCTTGCATTCGTTCGTAATTAACCGCCGAAGGTCTGCTAGCACACCGCGCGTCCCAGTAACCGTTGCCCTGCCAGTAACTCTGAGAGCCGCTGTACGCTCCTCCCGAGCCCGGCTGGTAAACACAGCCTGAGTAGACCCCAAAGCTGCTATCTGGTTGCTGGTAGGTGCTACTGGGTTTCTCCGACTGGGAAAAGTCCCAGTTCACACCACCCATATCCTCTGGCGTATGAAAACCATCCAGCCTGGAGAACTCTCCGAGAGCAGACTGGTTAAGCCCACCCTTCCCTTGCCTGCTGTCCGGCTTGGAAGAACTCATCTGCTGTCGGGATTTATCAGCACCTTCAAAACTCCCCGGCAGGCAAAACGGCTGCTCGTCTTGTCGGCCCATCGGTCTCCCAACGGACATCAGCTCCTTCAACATCATCCTCTCATCCGGGTTGGCTTTGCCGTGGGAGTCTGCCATCAGGTCTGCCTGACTCGTGCTGTCCACGCTGTCGCTCTGCGGCTGGCACGGGTCCGCCCGCAGCTCCTCCGGCTCCTTCCTGCCCAGCTCGGTAGAAGTTGCCAGGCTCTTCTCCAACCCTCTAGGAGAACACCTGCTCTCTACTTGTGCTCCACCTTTACTCGCCATATTCTCTTCGTAGTAGGGTCGACTTGGCTCCGGTCGCTCGTCGTCCCACTGGTCAGAGAAGCGCCGGTTGCCCTGGCTGCTCCGCGAGGAGCCGGGGCTGCTCTCTTCCATGGCGATGGTGGAATTCTTTGGTACCACCACAACAGACTGCAGCCGCTTCCGCGGCGCGCCGTCATCAGAATCCGAGTCTTCCGTGTCGCTGTCATCGCTGCCGCCCTCGCTATCGCTCTCCCCCGTGTCGGAGTAATCGTCGTGGCCAGCAGGAAGAAATTCAGCGGCATTGCCGCTGCTGTCGCATGTCAGGGCTTGAGTTACCATCTCCGTTTCTTCTGCGGTGACAATGACATCGCAAGAGGGAAACAAGGCGTCTGGAAAAGTCACCAAGGGCTCGCTTCCCTCGTCCTTCTCAGCCGATACGTCAGCACACCGATCTCCCAAATCATCCGGCCCAACTCCCTCGGTGGAAACGGCACTTTCCTCCACGACCTCCTCTCTGCCGCGCTGCTCCAGCGGCACTTCCGAATAATACGAATGTTCATCTTGAAAGGACAGCTTGCCTTTTGCCGAACTGAGGTCGACGTGCTGAGTATCCAACTCAAGCATCTCTTCGGCTTCCGAATGCTGGAGCAGCTCCTGACATCTATCTGGTGGTGCCACGTCCCACTTGGAAGAGACGCTTTCCTCCGGCACGGGATGGTCTGAGCGCAGCCTCGGGGAGCAGCCATCCTGGGAGGAATCCCTGCTGGAGCTCTCCGCAGCCAGGCTCATTTTGTGGGAAGGATGAGGGTGCTCCTCATTGCAGGCAGACTTTGCGTGGTGATCCTCCGTGCTCTCAAAATTGCACGTCACAGTCTGTGGCTCTACCTGCACATCCAGGAAAGTCTCGGATGTCACTTTGACATCTGCTGGTTCCGCTTCGATTTCAACTTCCGAATGATACAGAGCAGGGGTGGCATCATCTGAAATGTAGCAAAAAACTGGTTCTTTGGTTTTGTCGCACGGAGTTGCCTCATCATCCAGGTTCTTCAGTAGAGTTTTAGTAGGATCTACGCTCCCGACAGGCACAGCGATGGCTTCCCCTTGCTGCTGCGGGACCGGCGCCTCCACCTCCCCAAACAGACTGTTGCACTCACTGGACTGGACCCGAGAATCATCCGGCTCTTGTTCTTGAGATGTGTAAGTGCTCTCAAACCCATTAGACAGCAACGGGTACGACGGACTCGTCTGCACAACAGGCAACGCTTCTGACCGACACCGGCTATCGTCAGAAGGTGAAGCGACATCCTCTGTTCTGGAGGCACTGGAAGATGCCAAACCATCAGCTCTACCCTCTGGGGACCCATTTACACTCCGGTCCATGGGGAAACATGTTCTTAACTGATCCTGCCTTATCTTTAATAAAGTTTCTTGTTCCTTAACACTGTCGTGGCATTCGGTTCCTGTAGTCTCGTCAGACTTTGAGCTAGCAAAACCCACGTTCGATTCATCTGCCTTTTTAAAAGCGGGCAAATCATTTAACTCATTTAATGGAGAAAGTGTCTTTTCCCTTTCAAATTTTTTCACAATGGACACCCTGATCTCATTGCTTTTTAGACAAGAGGTCTCTAAATCTAGAGAATTAGACTGCTCTTTTATTTCTTCAATCGATTCTGTACAACAGAAAGAACTCTTAAATTTATCAGGCTTTGGTGCAGGGGTCTTTGAAGGGGTGGACTTATAACGGGAGGAATTCACATTACTGTCGGGCTTAGAATGGGATGTCCCCTTCCGATAGCCTAGCTCGTCAAGGGGAGAGCACCTTTTGGTTACTTCACTTTCTGAAGTCCTTTTTGAATCTCTATCTGCTTTCGAAGAAGACCTTCCTCTCCTCTCCACGTCAGCATGAGACGACTCTACTTTGCTGTCCCTGTCCGACTTGGAGTAAGAAGTCCTGGAGTCCCTGTAGGACGAGGAGGAGTGGGACGACGTACGCCTTGAGTCGCTCGATCTGGAATGTGTCCTCCTGTACTCGTCCTCCGAGTCTGAGCTATCTCGCGCCCTGCTGTCCGCATACGAACGGGAATATCTCGACCTTTCCCTGTACGGAGAGCTCCGATGGTATCTGCGGTCGGATTCGTAGTAATGTGAGCGCTCCGACCTCGAGTAGGAAGAGCTGGTGCGGGAGCCCCGATCTGATCGGGAACGGGAATGAGACCGGCTTCGCCTTCTTTCTCTGTCTGATCGAGAGCGGGAAGACGAATACCGTGAATCTCTTTCTGATTTCGAATAGCTCGAGTACTTCTCGTCCCTCTCTGACCTGGAGCGTGAGGAGGACTTCCCCAGATCATCGCCTCTGAGGGATGCGGAGCTTCGTCTGGGATCTCTCTCCTTTTCCGTACTGGATACCTTCAGCTCGTGCGACCGCTGGCTGGAGGAGGTCCTCACCGAATCCTCATCGGACTCGGAGCCCAGCTGCGTGCCGTCGGACTGGGAGAACTTTCTCTTCGACCCCTGCCTCCGGGAGCAGAGGGGAGCACCCTTCGAGCCGTCGGAAACCTCATCCTCTTTCCCAATATGGGAATCTTCCTTCTGCGGAGTTACTTCCGTCTGCTCGGGCGTGTTCTGAGTTACACGTTCTTCCGAACCGCGTGATACTGCATCCTGCTTGACATCCGGCTCCAAAGCCTCCTTGGGTACCGCTTGGCACGGCTCCTTCGAAGCGAGGACTTCAGCTTCCACAGGCGGTGACAGCAACAGCGTGGACGTCAGCGTCACGGGCAGTTGTGGCAAAGCTGCCGCCGCAGGAAGCGGCATCGATGCTGCTGGCGACGCCGTTAGCGGAGGGGGAGGCAGGGGAGGCGGTGGCGTGGAGGGAAAGTCCGCGGCCGATGCCACCGGTTCCGTTACCGGTGCCACAGCCGGCGGCGGTAGCGTTGCTGCTGTGGCTGGCGGTGGTTTTGCTGTGACGTTAAGTAAATGTTTTTTAAAATGGATCTTCCCTAATTCTACCTTGGGTTTTGGAGGTGAAGACTCCTCAGCTGCACCAGCAGCATCCCCCAAGTCCATTTTACTTTTGGGGTTAAAGTCAGTCTGAAGCGGTGCTGCTGGGGAGTTTTGAGTTTCATTTTGTTTCTCGTTTCCGAGACCAGTCAGAAATCTATTCGGTAAGGTTTTCTTGGTTAAACTAAAGCTGAAAGACACCTTTTGTCTTCCTTGCTCCTCAAGGTTAACCTTTGTTTTGGTGCCTTTGGGCAAAAAGCGACTGGAAGCAACGCCTTTGAAGACGGGGCCTTTGATAAAGCCGGCTTTCTGCACGGTTTCAGGCTTGCCCTGCAAAAGAAAAAGCAGATGCAGTTAGAGGAATTGTTTTTTAGGAGTTTTAAGTCTGTTTTGCAGACACATTGAACAATTCTGTTTCACCTGGTGAGTTTTTCGTGATGATAAAATAGAAATCGATACCCTGGGCTGGAGTTTGGGACTGGAATAGCTGTGCTGCCTTCTGCGCCCGGCTCTCTCTGGAACAAAATCAATTTCCCAGTGACTTCCAGTTTGGAGCACAACCTCCTTTGGGGTTTGGAGTGAGATTTTATACCTGACTTATTAACAACCAGACTGAAGGACCTTTTTTCATTTAATTCTTAGGTTTTTTAAAAAGAGATAGGGTCCGATATATGAAGTGAATCGAAGGGATAGCACCACTTTATCTGTGCTGTGTCTGCGGTCCCTGCATTTTTAAGCGTGTTTGTTTTCACCTGCCAAGAGATGCATTTAGTTTCAGCATAAATCAGACCACCAAGAATGACAGCGGCATTTTTACACCCCGTCCTTTCCTGCCTCCTGCCGACAGCCCTATCTCAGTGGTTAGTAATTCCTAACGAGTTTCCAGGCGCAGGCGTAGATGGGTATTAATAAAACTGCCTCCACGGATTCCCATCGGGACTCAGTGGCGCGTGATGACTCCATCACCTCCAGCCCAACGGACTGTAACAAACTCCGCATCCATCCCACCAGCCTGTCTCCTGCCCGGGATCTCACACCCTGCCTCGCAGCGAGGACCGTGCGACAGCAAATCCGTTCATTTTCAACGCTAACGAGCTGAAAGTCATCTTCTCCAGGGCATCAAGAGCTCAGGATCTCCACCAGGAAAGCGGTTGTGCCAGCGCTCGCCGTTAAACCGGGCTGTGCATATGGAGAGAGTCTAGAGCAACAAAGCTCCTTCCACAGGGGCACCTCTCACCTTACAGGATTCATTTATCCCAGCCTAAAATTAGCAATTTTCAGAGCATAAGGCAGCGTAAGGTCACCCATCTTGGCATCTCTCCACCTATTCTAAAGCTTAGGGCTCATCCACGCAAAAGCTGTCACAGGAGTGCGACCCCTAAACACAAATATTCTGGTAAAAGGGTTTTTTTGTCAATAATCTTTATCCCCATAAATCCAAATTATTAGCGTAATTACATTTTGTGTGAAGCACAACTCCAATGGAAAGAGCTGGAGCAGAATCAAAACTGTCCAGAGCGGGGTTTTACTCCCAAAACCGTCGGATGAACACATCACTGGCGGCAGCAGCGGTTTCTTGCAACCCACTGTGAATTATTACGGACTTTGTTATCCTTTAACTTTAGTGAAACAATGCATGGCTGCTCGGGCTAAAGGCACCACAGTCAATCATTGAATCAGATGGTGGCGGAATGGAAACCCCATCCCACTCTGTCTGCACCCTCGGACATCATCTATACAAAAACAGCCTCATTTTTGATGAAACATGTGGGGTTTGGCTTTAATTGTGAAAACCATGTCACAGCATCCACGTGAGACATCATTTTGGGGGTTTGCTGGGTCAACTATGATCCCTACGTGACCAGAAATTCACAGCTTTCTACCCCAACCTGCATCTATGCCTTGGGACAACGGAAGAGTAAGAGAGCAGGTTCCTATCTTTGACCATTCCCTGATGCCTAACGGAAGGATTCTCCAGAAATCTGAATCCAAATTCTTATCAGAGACTGGATTCACCTATTATACTAATTATATATTAAAAAAAACATAAAATACTATATTTTAAAATA